AAACAAACAAACACATCGTCTCTGTTCACATTATTCTGCCCGATGCTGCGATGGGATACACTTTGGCACAAGTCGGAGAAATCCAGGCTTGTGAAGATGTAACGTCTTCTATTAAGGAGAAGAAAAGAACTATTCATACATGTACAGGGAAAGCGTATGTCGTATAACGTGCTGCTGTGTTATATCCATAAAAATAAAACAATCGCATTCTATCAGCTACACTTTCTCGGTAACAGTACACAGACAGATCTCTTAAACCTATATACAAAATGTTCACACACATGCTTAACAGTTCACAAAGTGTGACGGGAAACAAACGTCCGTGTCTCTGTAACGCTGGTGATTATAAAATAAGGCAGCTTTAATCATCAGATGTCGAGCTGAGGTCGTCTCTTTTCTCTCTCGTCTGAAGTCGGTGCTGATTCTCCTCTTGTTAAAATGACAAAGACTATCCCAGTTCTCATGACGACAGCCAGTTTCTGTGGATGTTTCTGTCCATGATCAGTGTTTTTCTCTTTTTTGTGTGTGTGTGTGTGACAGTCTCTTTCTTTGGAAAAAAAAAAAAAAAACAGCACTCGCAGGCTCTGGCGTCCAGACCACCGTCATTAATCCGCACGGATGAAAATACACGTCTTTTGATTAGCCAGGGTTAACTGTGAAGAGAGAGAGAAACAAACAAGATGATGTGAAAAACCTGGGATGCGACCAGCAGAATGGCTGGACTTCAAACGGCACGCCCACACAAAATCCACACATATTAAAACCAGGAAGCTACCCACAATGCAGAAAAAAAAAAAAAGCAGACAGATACAGGAATAATCTCAGTCTGCACGTTCGCACGCAGCCAAGTATTAAAACAATAGCTTTATGTGGATTATATATGAAGAGAGAACGCAGGGGGAGAAACGGCAAGACGGTCTCTCTCTGAAGGCAACGAAATCTGCCTGCCAGCACTTCTAAAGCTGACTAATTAACACGTAATATGCTGTTTGTCTCTTATGCACAAAAACTGAAACGAGAATAGAACAAGTTGAGGTTTTATCTGATCTAGTCGTAGCATCTGAATCCACAAGAATGAGCTTAGAAACCGGCGTCAAACTACTGCACGCAGACCGAGATGATTCGGTGCTTTTCCAAAATATCTCACAACATTTACTTTTCAATTTGCACTCGACTCTAAATCACAGGAAACCATGCTTCTGGCTACCAACTGCAAACCACACGTCTCATGCAGAGGTCCAGTTACCCTCCGGCCCTCCAGGTTCAGAGGAACATATCATCATCATCATCATTATCGACATCATCCAACGACCAAGTCCAGTCTTTCAGGTCAAACTCAAACAGTCTGAAACAGCAAGTGTGAGGTTCAGTTTTTAGGGATTCACACGTCTGTCGGGGGGGCAGTGCATGCCGTGTTCACCAGGGGGCAGTGTGGAGCTGAGAGCGCTTCATGAGTGTGTTACTGCGAGGGGGTTATTAGGCAAACAGCGGCAAGGCGATGCAGCGATGCAAAGAGGCTCACCGAGCTACTTACAGCCTCCCAGCATGAGAGACGTTAGAAGGGTCAGAGGTGAAGAGGTCAGGGGTCAGTGGAGGATGATGCGGAGCATTGGGCCAGCGCTGAGGGATGAAAGCCGGTTAGGGTGTGGCTCAAATACAACCTACTCACAGATACAGTTAGTTACTCTCACAGGGGCTTTGTACTCGGTTAGGTCGAGTGTTGGAGCATGAATGCCGCATACAGCGTTATGCAAATGACCAGGAAGCCTGTTTAAAGCACGACGCTGGTGCTGCCTCGCGTCCCTCCAGCATCGACAGTCATCAACAGACAAATCAGTGAGACTTGGTTTCATAGTGATGGAGGTTTTAAATTAAGTGGAAATTAATAAGACTGCTTCAGGATATCTGCCCCCTCACCGCTGCAGTTACAGTAAACAAAGTTCTTTTGAGATGATGGAGAAAAAAAAAAGGTTCAGGTCACAAATGAAAACACAAAAGAGCTGCTAATGTTTACCAAGGAAGTAAAATAGCTGCTTTACGAATTATATTTTTAAAATTTCAACCCAAAATGTTTTTAGCATTTTTTTAATACTAAAAACCAACATGGAGGAATCCCTGAATCCTACTCTTCAACCCTCTGAACCCGACAGCTTTGTGGGTGTTTTTACTCACTGTGGGCTCAATGCAACATAAAATCCTGCTCGTCAGTGGAAACAGCAGAACAGAGAATTTAAATCCGTCTTCTGTGCAGCGCAACAAAGTTTGAGTGTCATAAATAAATGAAGAGTTCATTTGGAAAACCGGACACCTCCGTCTTCTCAAACCCACGTTTCCATCGTCCACCTGAGACAACATCAATCAGACTGAAGTCGTCTCTGTTTCTGTCATTTCTACTGAGTCACATCCACTCAGCTTCACTTTGATGGATTTCATCTCCACCAAACAACAAAAAGAAGTTTTCTGAACATGTACAAAAATGGAGTTCTCTGTTTTTGCAAATGAACTCTTCATAAATATTTCTTGGATTATTTGTGCTACAAAAACCGAAAAGAACATTGAATTAACCTGCACACACTATGGATGTTTTAGTACTGACATTCTTGATCTGTTTCCGTACTCATGTCAATTCTTTTCTGTATAAACATTTTTTTATTTTTTATTTTTTTAAACAGAATCTGCTTGTTTTTGACAGGTTTTCAAATGACATGTAGACTAAATGGATTTTGATAAAATGTCATGATTTTAAGTTTGAACATAGACATTTTTTCTTCTGAGAAATTGGCCCCTCACAGACGACTAGTTCACGAACTGTTTAAGATCAAACTCTTATTTTTTTTTCCAGTTTGTCTATCTTGTAGCTCTGATAAATACTGTTGTTTTTGTTGTTGTTGTTGTTTTTAAATGACATGCGCTGCTGGATTTTGGGGTTCAGAGGGTTAAACAGAAACTGTATTAAATCACTGCAGCTGTCCTCGTTTGGAGCGTCTATTGGTGTTTTTTTTCTGATATTGCTTTTGTCTTTGTTCTGTGGTTTGGATAAAACCTTTCAGATGATTGAATTGAATTGAATTGAATTGTGAATGAGACGCCACGCTGGGTGTGAACCGACACTGAACCAGGTGAAGCTTTTCTGTATCTATTAAACTGTTTTTGTTCCTCACCTCGGCTTCCCCGACGACGGCTGCTGTCTACTGGGCTGGATCTTGATGGCTCCGCGGTGGGACATGTGAGGGGATCCTCTGGGCGAAGGCCGAGGGGAGAGCTTCGGAGAGGAGCGCGACGTGGCCTCCAGAGCGTTGTTCTGTGCCGCAGACGGAGGACTCATTGTGGGATGTTTCCTCGGGATGCGTTTGAGAAGGTGACTAACCCAGCGCTGCTGATCCTCCTGAGAGTTAGTCAGCAGCAGCAGATCTTTGGCGGTGGACATGTCATAGTTCACTGTCAGAGACGAAGAATACAAAGATGAGAAACAGGGCGAAGATGACATTCGCTTCCTCTGACTAACAGCAGTTCAACGGCTCCGTGGCTTTAGCAGCCAATCTCCCAACACATCAAATCCATCATCAGAGTCTTCATACGCTAAATACCCAGATTAATAAAAAAACAAAACATGTGGTGACAGAATGCAGAGCAGCAGCCGTCTGGTGTTTAGCTGTTACTGGAAATGATCAGGTTTTGCTGAAATCACTTTGTTTTCTTATGAACAAAAACATTTGATTTATTGTGTCCCAGTGGAACATTTTTTAGCTTTTGAAGGATCAATATTCATCAATTATGAGATATTTTCATCATATATTTATAGCTGAAGCTCATTTAGACAATCAAAAGAAGAATTACTGATGATCTGATGAGTGTTTTGTTCCATTCATTATTTGTTTTCTACATCGTCAGTTGAACATATTTGTGTTTTTGACTGTTGGTTGAGCAAAACAGTTGTGTGAAGATGCCATCCTGGGTTTCTGTGACCTGCAAACTAAACAATGATTTAAGGATAATGAACATACCGGCCTGTTGGAGCCCTCAGTATAAATCTAATATGTTTTATGGTGG